ATCTGCCATAGGTTTTGTGAAAGTGTGTGAAAGCAGCCTGAGTTAAGGCCTCTTGTGGGTGGAGTGATCTCGACAGTCATGTCGTTTCTCTCTGTGTTTGCTAAGCGGGGTGAATATCCAGTGTACGTCTTCAAGTGCCCTAGTCTGCGCCTTCTTGGGGCCAGGTCATCAGCTAGAGGCTTTTGTTACCCCTATTCTTTTAGTTGCAGCATCTACTGAAGTTTGAACAAGACTAGGTTGTGGATGGAATAAGGTACAAGTTCTCTCATCTGAGCTGGGGTGGGGGGTAGCTCAGCAGCAAGCCCCCCCACCCAACCTGGTCAAAGACTGGGCTCAATCCCTAGCACTACTCAATCCCTAGAAATAACCATGAGTCACAGCAACTTAAAAGTCAGCCAGAACCAGGCGCACTGTTGACATCCCAGCTCCTGGAAGGTGGAGGCGAAGCAGGGAGTCCCTGCCTCAAAATAAGAAATGAAAAGGGAGGGGTGTGGAGCTTAGTGGTAGAATGCCTCCGTGTTAGTCCCAGTACTTCAACAGAAAAAAAAAAATGCAAATCAGAAATAGACATACAATAAAAACCTTTTAAAAACAACAACTAGGGCTGGGGTTGTGGTTCACAGGTAGAGCACCTGCCTAGCATGTGTGAGGCACTGGGTTCGATCCTTAGCACCTCGTAAAGTAAAATGAAGACATTGTGTCCACCTATAACTAAAAAATAAATATTTAAAAAAAGAATCTATTAACAAAGAACATAGATTAAAAATTAAATGTTAATGAAAGTAAAATTAATGATACATTTCAAAAGGGAGAAGGCAAGAAGAGAATGAAAAGAAAAAAGGGAAATAAAGATGAAAGAAGAAAAACATCAAGAATTAAAAAATATGTAAAATTAGGTGAAAGTATGAAAAAAATAACAAGGAAAAACAAAATAAACAACACACAATAAAGCAAGCAAAAGCAGTCAACAATTCCCCGGGCCCCAGGTATGTGAAAGGGAGCGATGCCTTTCAGATCTCAGATTTTGGAACCTGTCAGCCAGGCGGGCCGAGCCCACCCACCTCGCGTACCAGCAGGGGCTTCGTGCAGTGGTGGTGGCAGGGCTGTGCCCCCTGGAGGCCTCTGCATGTGCATGGGTGGACGGGATGTGGCAACAGTAGGAGGCCCTGCTGGCCCCTCTGCCCCTTGGAGCCTGTGGATGGTCGGATTGCACTCCTGGACCTCCAGTCGTGCATGGGCCGAGTTACTAAGCCTGGCATGTAACCGGAAGGCCTCTGAGCAGCTGAAGGAAGGACTCTGTCCTGCCCTCTGCATTGGAGGGGAGCTGAGAGACCCCAGCCCGCCTGGCCGCTGTGCTGTGGGGGGCCACCTTGGAGAGAATCCATACTCAGTTGGCCTCCTGCTCCCAGAGCTCGCCTCGCCTTACCAGTTTTGCATGGCAGCACCTTCCGCTTCCCTTGACTGGCGACCTGGTGTCCCACCCAGAGAGTTCTCAGCAGCTTTGTGTCACAACCAGTTCCTTAGGCCCAAACTGTCTGTCATGTGGGTGTCTGCTGAGAAGAGAAGAATCTGTTGGGTCTTGGAGATATAAAGTGCTGGGGCTTTTTAATCTCTCCAGCAGTAAGCCCAGACCAGGGGACCCTTCTTGGCACCATCTGAATATCCTGGGAAGCACTGAGAAGTGCCAACCCACTGCAGATGCCAAGCCTCCTGTCTGCTTGCGTTGTATTTACCTGGTGCTGGATTCAGGACTTGCTGAGGGTGCTAGGACTTACTCACCTACAGCCTGGGGTAAAGGGTACTTCTCCAGCAGGCTACCAAAGTTCTTAACATTGGGTGCTTGTTCCCCTATTTCTAATAACCAGTATTTCTGGGTTGTTACCTGCTCAGACTATGATTGTACTCCAGAGTTTACCTATGACATCCCTCCCCCATGCAGCCATACCTTGTTGCTGTGGTTTAATCTAGGGCAGAAGCAGGGGAGTGCTGAGTGCCTCTAATCCACCATCTTCCTCATCTCTCAATGCACTAAAACAAACAAACAAACAACAACAACTGACAAATCAAGTTTTTTTGTCCCTGGATGATGGATGGGGAGTTGGCTGTATATGCATTGAATAAAATGACAAGAAATGATAAAGGAATCATCTACAAAGTTAGTCTTGATGGGGGAAATGTACCTGTAACAGGCTATGCCGAGATTTGCTTTGCTGTGTTCTATGGACATATTTTTAACAATTTTAATGCAGAAGGATTATTTTTTAGTTTAAAACATAAGCATTTCCAGCATAGATGTTCATTAACAGATGAATGGGTAAAGAAAATGTAGTATATATACACAGTGGAGTTTTATTCACCATAAAGAAAAATGAATATGTCATTTGCAGGAAAATGAGTGGAACTTGAGATCATTATGTTAAGCAAAATGAGCCAGCCTCATATGGGGAAGATAAAGAGGAAGAAGGGAAAAAAAGGAGGAGGTCAGGGATTTCATGCAAATCAAAGGGATATCAGTCAAGGAAAGGGACCAGAGGGTGGGAGGTGGAGAGGGAGGGGGAAAATGTTGGGGAGTGATATTGGCCAAATTATATTGTTATATTGTGTGCATACATAAATATATAATGAAAAATCCCATCATTATGTAGGATTATAAGGTACTAGAAAAAAAATGTGGAAAGAGGAAAAAAATAGGTATTTCATGTGAAATTTTTAATTGATAGTGCCAGGAAGCAATCAATGTTGATTAAGACACATCTCCTAAGGAGGAATCAGGCATTGAAGTTCAGTAGGTGCGTGACCTGAAGTTCAGCCCCTTGATTGGTCAGCTTCTGTCGGGTATAACTTCTTTGAAAATGGAGTCGAAATTTCACTTAACTGAAATGAGTTCTCCCAGGAATCCTTTTCTGAACAGTCAGTTGTAATTTAGTCTAAGTGGCACTCTTTACGGAACTGAAACATGCTTTACTTTGCAAGCAAGTAGCAATCAGAAGAATAAATTCTTTTTCTTTGAAATAGAGAAATCACTTCCAATCTGATCTTTGCATCCCCATGCCTGCTGATAATGTGAGCATGAACACATTAAGCATGAAAGAGGAATGGCATGTGTGCTCAGTTGTGATCAGGAGCGCTAGAGAACATACAAGCTAACACCAAGGTAGGTGCAGTCCGTCCTGTCACATCATGCTTACACAGAGTTCGGAGTAGGCTGATACTGGTGTGATTTCCAGTGTTCTCAGGGTAGACCTCTCCCCACCCTAGTCTAGTTATCATGTGTAAATCAAGCTGCAGTTGACAGGGATTTGCTTTCTTTATCCTGGAAAAGGTCTTTGAGTCAGACTCTGCTTTGGCCTCACTGTGTTGATCTTCATCACAAGCACTTTTATAATTCCCACATTTTTTTCTTCTTTTCATACACATATCTCAATAGGGTCTTTCATTACATGATTACAAATTGTATGCTTCGTGAAAGCAGTAAATTTAAAGAAAGATTATTTAAAATCTGAGGCCAGAGAGCATGGTTTCTCTTACTTAGAGTTTGGCTTAAAGATTGGTATTTAAGTTGGTATCATTCCACATGTGGTAATCCTGCAAAGTGCTACAAATTTTTATTTATAGTTAAGGGAATAAACCCAAATCCACTCTTCATTATGTTGTCTTGCATTATTTGCTCAGTGATAAATGACATTGATGTGTGGGTGCGAGTTTTGCAATGAAAGACCCTATTGTAGCCTATGGGGCTGGGGCTGGGGTCCAGTCAACATCACGTTTTTAGAGGGATTTAAATTCAGAATGTCCTGGTCCTTGCAAATTTAAACATATAGCTTTATGTTGTTTTAACACTGTATTTTTACTCAAAGTAAAATAAAATAAAAAGGAATGAACAAAGAGGGAAAACTTAAGGTTGTAATGTTAGAAACCAAATAAAATGACTGAAGGCATATCCTAAACTCAAAAGATTAAAATTGTACGAGAGATAATAGCAATCCTTTGAGTGGCCTGTTTCTGCTATTTAGAAATGACTTCAGCTTTGAAAATTTATTAACTGTTGGATGCCAGAGAACCAAATTAAAGAGATCTGAAGACAGGCTGAAAGAAAAATTCTGAGGGGCAGGGAAGTTGAATAGCTGCCTCAGCCTTTGAGGAAAAAGTAGTTCCATGTCATGTCAGTTTATCCAAACCAGTGTTCAGGAGAGTTTTTGAGGAAGGAAAGAGGTGGATATTTTGGAGGGTGGATTAGTCTTAGATTATATTTGTTTTGTTTTGAAATAGAAACATAATAAATAAGAGGGAATTTCAGTTTTGAATCAAGTAGCTCTGTGTCCACTCATCAGAAGTTTGGATAATTAAATCAGGAATCTACTAAAATGCCATTTTGCTAAGTACGAAATGAGGGATCTTCTAAAAAGTTAATAATTAAGTAAGATTTTAGGGGTAATATATCCGAAGCAAATGTGCCCTCCTCTCCCATTCATTCAGAACTGAAAAGAAAATCATTCCACAATTTTCTGGGTCCTTCATCATTTCTGATGAGAAGCCAGATGTCACTCTGACAGAAAAACAACTTTCAAATGTGCTGTTGTTCCACATATGTACTGTGTCATTTTATCGTGGCTGGTTTTAAGATTTTTTTTTATCTTTGGTTTTCAGCAGTTTGATAATGGCGTACATAGATATGATTTCCTTTGTATTTATCCTGCTTGAGCTTGCTCACATTCTTGAGTCTTCAAACTTATAACTTACCAAATTTGGAGAATTTCAGCTATTTTAAAAATAATCTGTATCTTCTGGGATACTTTCAGAGGTTGCAGAGTTAGTATAGGGAGTTCCTACAGACTTATCGCCTGGCTTCCCCCAAGATTCACATATTATGTAATTAAGATGTACTTGTTAAACTACAAAAGTAATGATGGTACAATGCTATGAACTACAGTTTTTCTACTGATGTCCTCCTCTTTTTTTTTTTCTTCCTGTTTTAGAATCCCATCTAGGATACCATATTGCATTTTATCATCGTATCTCCATTCTGTAAGTCTTTCAGACTTCACTTAATATTCACAGCCCTGACATTGTTGATGGGTGCTGAGCAGATGTTTTTCAGAATGTCCTTCAGTGTGAACTTGTCTGATATTTTCTCAGGTTTACATTGATTTAGGGACTATTATGGAGGCAAGGTGCCTTTCTCACTGCATCATATCTGGGGTAATGATAGCAATATGACTTATTTTTGGTGCTATTAAGCTTGATAATTTGGTTAAGTTTGTGTGTACCAGATTTCTGAACTATAAAATGAGTATTTTTTTCTATTCCCTATTTGTTGGGATCAAATCATTAAATCCAGCCAATACTCAAGGGGAGGAAGATTAATCCCTACCTCTTAGAAGAAGTAACATCTACATATATTATTTGGAATTTTTCCATAAGAAGATATATCTTCCAATTTCCTATATGATCATTTGTTTATATCACAATAGACTCATAGACATGTGTCTTATTCTTTGGGTTCTAACCCAGTACTACCATTATTTGTTTGCTTGCTTAGGCCAAACTAGCCATTAGCAGCTTTCCAGGCTGGTGCCTGTGGCCTTTCGAGGTGCCCTGTTCTTCCCCACTCTTTGCCTCTGTGATGCTCTAGGCTCTTCTTGTATTTTCCCTGCCCTAGTCCTATGGTCGGCCATTTTTCCAAGGGGGCCTGGTGCCTTTATTGGAAAATGGTATTTAGAAATCAAGACTTGGTGCTGGCTGTGCTCACTGCTGCTTCTTGCCCTTTTTTTTTTATTGGTATACTTTGCTACCTCATTCTTTTTGAACTGTTCTTTTTGGACTCCAGTTATATTCACATTAAATTTTTTAATTTTGTTCCAAAAATACCTGGGGTGCTTCATTCCTTTCAACATTTTTTTTTTCTGGTTTTCATACTGGATAATTTCTGTATAACTATTTTCAAGTTCAGTTGCTCTTTCTTCTGTGATCTCTAGTCTACTATTGAAAACTACCAGTGAATTTTTAAATTTCATATTTATTTATTTATTTATTTAGTTTTCAGTGGACACAGCATCTTTATTTTTATTTTTATGTGGTGCTGAGGATCGAACCCAGCGCCCCACGCATTCCAGACAAGCGCGCTACTGCTTGAGCCACATCCCCAGCCCAAATTTCATATATATTATTCTTCAATTGAGAATTTATTTTGCTTTTTTATTTTTAGTAATTCTGTTTCTCTTGTAAGTTTTCTTTTAGTTCATTTTATCATAGCGTTTATGTCCTTAATTTATAATAGTAATCACTGCTTTAAAATCCTTGTTTGCTTACTTAACTCAAGTTGGTCTTCATTGATTGCTTTTTCTCTGAGTATGGTTTATATTTTCTTGTTTCCTTTTATCCTTATATTAGGATTGTGATCCATACTAGTAGAAACTCTGGGTTCTGTTCCTCGTAGGGACATAATGTTTTGCAGGTGATTAACTTTAATGAATTTGGACTTCTAGTAGTGCCTCCTCTATAGTGGGAAGTGATCAGAATCCCAGTTTAATTGGGCTGTTTGGCTACCTCATACATGCATAGCTTGGGGGTCAAAAAGAGATACCAAAATACAGTACAGTAATGTATTCAAAGTGCTAGGTAAAAAATAACTCTACACTTAGTTAAGTAATCAGTTAATAGTGAGAATTTAATGAAAGCATTGCAAACATGCAAGTGTTGGAAGAATTCACTCTTGTTGCTTCTGAAAGAAATGCTAAAGTGAAGAGGAAATTGAGGCATATGGTATTTTCCAAACATGGCCATAGCAATGTCTCCCATCTCCCATGCTTTTCTACTCTGTGACTTACCACTTGCCCATCAAAAGGGGAGTCTCTTCCCCTCTCCTTGAATCTTCATTGCCTCATGATAGATTGTAGTGGAATTGATAACCACATTGACTTTCAAGGCCAGGCAAGAAGAGGCCATGCAGCTTTCAACTGTTGTTTAGGGATGCTTCCTCTGGGGGATGCCAGCTTCTATATCAGATGTCCAACTATTCTGAGATCCCCATATTGGAGAGACTTTGTATAGCCAATCTGGTTGTCAGAGTCTCTGGATAAGCCTGTCTTCTCATTGATTACCGGGAAGTGACATGGATGAATCCCCAAGCTATAGAAGAGTGGTGCCAGCTGAGTGTTGCCAGAATAGAACAAAATGGTTTCAGTTTAAAGCCACAAGTTAATTTGTTATGCAGCAACTGGAACAACACCGACCCAGAAGGAAGGAGTGGACGTGTGACCCAGTTGTAAGGAAGCTGATGAACATACTTGTAAATACATATAAATAAGTTACACTTGTAAATATTGGCTTTTTTTTTGGAGGGGGGGTACCGGGGATTGAACTCAGGGGCACTCGACCACTGAGCCACATCCCCAGCCCTATTTTGCATTTTATTTAAAGACAGGGTCTGAGTTAGTTAGTGCCTCGCTTTTGCTGAGGCTGGCTTTGAACTCGAGATCATCCTGCCTCAGCCTCCTGAGCCACTGGGATTATAGGCATGCACCACTGTGCACAGCTTAAAATATTGGCTTTTTAAAAATGCCGGATGGGGCTTCTTAAAAATAATGTGATACTAAGACATTAGCTACAGGAATATAGAAGTTGGTGTGGAGTAAGGAAGAAGAAAAACTGTTGATGAGTCTAAGGTGCTTATATTTTTTTGGAAGGCTTTTAGAGATTGACTTTAAGTAGGTATGTTAAAGAAAATAAATAGATTTTATAACTAACACTAGAAGGTAAAACAGGTGTGCAGTAAAAATTTCAACAAATATCAGAAAAGGAAACCTTAAGAAAGAAGCAAAGAAAATCATGTAAATAGAAAACACAAAATAAGCTAGACATGGTGGCCCATGCCTGTGATCTCAGCTACTCAGGATGCTGAGGTAGGAGGATTGCAAGGTTGAGGCCATCCTGAGCAACTTAGTGAGACCCTTTCTCAAAAAAAAAAAAGGTTAAGATGAGTGTCATTATAACTGTAATTGTGATAAATGTAGACAAATGAGTTTCAGTCAATAAATGTGATACTTATATTAAAAATCCAGCCAGTGCTGGGGATGTGGCTCAAGCGGTAGCGCGCTCGCCTGGCCTGCGCAGGGTGCTGGGTTTGATCCTCAGCACCACATAAAAATAAAATAAAGATGTTGTGCCCACTGAAAAACTAAAAAATAAATATTAAAATTCTCTCTCTCTCTTTCTCTCTTAAAAAAAAAATCCAGCCAGATGTTATCTTTAAAAGATAATCTAGGCAAAACAACCCAGAAGGTTAAAAATAAAGGGATAGAAAAGATGTACCAGGAAAAAAAAAAAACCTGAAAGAAAGTAGGCGTGACAACATTAATATCAGGTAAAATGGAATTTTTACATCTTTTAACCACAGAAGTTGCATATGTGAACTGGGAGATGTGTACAAGGATGTTCAATGCAGCATTGTTTGTTATAATGAAAATTTTAAGAGAAATACCTTATCAATAGGTAAATAATAATATTGATAGATGGTAGAATATTCACATGGGACACTAAACAGCAGTTAAACAAACTACGTCTGTATCCATCAACATGGGTTTATTTCAATACTATTGACTAAGTTGCATAATAATGTCAATGTGATGTTTCTAAACCCAAAACAACAAATTTGGACTAAATTTCCTTTTAATCCTGAAGTTATTTTACTGAAATTATTTGATCACAGCAGTGAGCTGTGTTCCTGTGACTATATGCAGGTGAATTTCTGAGGAACTGTGCCCAGAAACAGTATATTTCAGCAAGTAAACTGGTTATGTCCAAGATATTTGATGTGTCCTAAAGAATGCACACACTTGATATAGAGAAAGCTGTCACCTCCGATCAAATAAATAGTCTGTAGAATAAAATATTTAGTAATTACTCAAAGTGTGTTCAATGCTATAGGATAAGCGTATATGCAAAAATTTCTCTTCCCCAAGTTGATTAGGAGAAAAAAGACGTGGAATAAAATGGTATAGGTGTATCCTGAGAAGAAGAAAGGAGTGATCTGGAGGAAGGTGTTTGTTAAATAGTAGCTTTCTACCAGACTGTAGAAATGACACAGCCAGACGTGTTACATAAGAGATGTTAAGGTCACAGATGTCTTCAGATGTCAATTTCATGGCTATTTATTGAGAACCTACTGTGTACAGAGTACTCTGCTTAGCAGGGTTGTGAACACAAAATTGAATTGGGGGAGGGCCCAAGGAGTTCCTGGATTGCTGAAGGGTGGGGCAGCTCTAAATTGAGGCAGATGAGTTAAGGGCCAGGAGGATGACATGCGTTGCTTCGTAAGCTGGAAGCGAGGGAAATTGTTTCTTAGAATGATTGGGATGTTTTCACAGAGGCTGCTTCAGTTTGGGGGCTTGAAAGTGGCAGTGTAGTTTCTTTTCTGAGCCATAGCTCTGTTTATTATTTGATCCTCCCCCAACCCATTAAGAAAAATGTTGCTGTACATTAATCCTTTCAAAGCATTTTAATGGTGTTGCTGAGACAATCATGTAAGCCTTTAAAAGACACCACATAGCACACTTGTTTTAGAGGCTGTGGTGGTTAGCCACTGGAACACTAACCATTGGTTTTGATAAAGGGGGGAGGGATTTTATATGTTATAGCTTATGACAGAGAATGGAAAAATGCTTCAGTGAGACACGCTGGCATTTTAAATTGGAGCACAATAATAGCCAAAAGTGCTGAAGTCAACGGACTGCTTAGAAATGTGGTTACCATTTGCTGAGAGAGGCCTTTCAAGGTGGCCACAGACATGTGTTTGCAACCACAGTCAGTTCAGTTTTGCCCTAAATGTGGGACTGTGACCCTGATTGACTCCAGTGAGAGCTATGTACTTTCAGAGATAGGGGATTTAGGTTTCCAGAAATCCCAGACAAGTAGGAAATAGGTGAATAAGCCACATAATATACAAACCATAATGTAGGTTGGAAACCAGGCGGCAGTGACTGCTCTTCAAGTCTTCTGGGGCTGGATTAAAAAAATCCTCCTTTTCCTACCAAAGTTGAATTCTTCACGAGAAAAATTGATTACTAGTCTGCACAAATTGAAGAAAACAAAGAAGGTAGAATGCGAACATGCAAGAGTATCTTAGAGGTAACATCTGATTTACGACTTAGATGATATGAAGAGATAACCATGAAATCTAGAGGATGAAAATTCCAAGGAAGAGCATCAGCTAGAGGGAAAAGTTCTATTCCTCACAAACAGAAAGAGATGGGGTGACCTTGGGCACAGCGCTTTCCTTCTCTGGACTTCTTTGTTTTAAGTTGTAGAGGAGAGCTGCATGAGTGAGCCTGAAAATTTGTCCAGCTCCAAAGTTTAATGATATAAAGACTAGTTAAAATGGAAAGCAGAGGGATGGAAATGTAGTTCAGTGGTAGAACACTTGTCTAGCAAGTGTGTGATCCTGAGTTTGATCCTCACTGTCTCAAAATGTATAGATGAATAAATAAGCAAGCTACAGTGCCAAATGTAGCCTTTGTTTTTAAAAATGGTAACCCGAAGGCTGGGGGTGTAGTTCAATGGTAGAACTCTTCTTGCCTAGCAAGTAGGAGTTCAATCCCCAGTAACCCCCCCCCAAAAAAAAAAAAAAAAAAACCAAAACAAAACAAAACAAAAAACAATGGTTGGTCTTTGAATTGGATGGAATGGTGGAGAGAGAAAAATGTTAGCAAGAGGAAAAAAAAATCAAATAAAACAAGGTTGTCAATTTGTAAGTTTAGTAAGTGGAAGGCGATGGTGTTGGGGGAATGGTTCTTTCCTGTTTCGGTCATTTTCTTCCGTGTTGAGGGAGTTCAATTAGAGTGACACTCCTGGTTTTGTGTCTTTATTTCACAAGGTGGCTTAATTTAATAAACTTGGGCATGTTCTGATCATCTCCTCCCCTTTGATTTTTAGGTAGCAATCCTTTCCACAGAGAGCTATTCTCCTGTACAATTTCAGCCCTTAAGTCTTACTTGGGGCAGTGGGGGGGTGGTGATCTTTCCTCTCCTTGGAGCTCTGACCTGACCCAGATTGTCTGAAACCATCTGGGAACAGGGGATGCAATTTCCTGGTGTCTTTGGGTCTTGCAGTAAGCCATGTTCTCCAGTTTAGCTTTTATCAGTAGTGATGGTGATATTTTGGTCTCCCTTTGCCATGTCTTTACTATTTCTTGGTATGTTTGGAATTTGGTGGGAAGGAAGAGTGTTGTTTATTTGTCTCTCTCAAGACTCCAAAATTGGGTTCAGAGGGCAGGATTGGCTTGATGCAGAAGGGATGCTGTTCCCTCCAAATTAGGAGAAGGCAGTAGTTATGAACAACTGGAGATGCTTTGAGGTATGATGAAGTTTCAGAGATCATCTCAGTAAAGATCAAATAATCACCTGAGAACCAGTCAGCAAGCATGGAGCTGGAAAATGAGCAGAAGGAAAGACTCAGAATGGCCACAATGAAGTATGTAGCCAAGAATCTGCTAAGAGGACCAAAGAATAGCCAGTCAGGGTAACAAGGGCTGAATTGTTTAAAATATACTCCAGAGCTGGGCATGATGGTGTGTGCCTGCAGTCCTAGCTACTGCAGACACTGAGACAGGAGGATCACTGGAGCCCAGGAGTTTGGGGTCAGCCTGGGCAACTTAGCAAGACTCTTTCTCTCATAAATCAAAACAAAACAAAAACAGAAACCACACCACATAGCACACTTATTTTAGAGGCAGCAGTGGTTAGCCACTGGATAATGACAGGTTTTGGACACAGTGGGTTTGATAACAGCCTGGAAAGGATAGGCTTTAAGACAGCGAGCGTCACAGCATTGTTCTCTGCACCAGGCACAAAAGCAACAGACATTGTTCTGTAAAATATATTTTATTCTTAAAGTATATAAACTTTCAGAAATAAATGAAGGAATCTATTAGGGTTAGACAATGAATAATTACATCTATATTGGTATCAGTGCTAACCTAGTTTTCTTCAAATGTGATAAGTTTAGACAACCATTAAGGTGATGTGTGTGTATTTTCAGGCTTTTTAAAAAAATATATGTTTTTTTAAAAAAACTAGTCAACAGCTGTATATTAGCAATTCCAAACACCAGCAGGATGAAGTTTGAACATCATTGTTTCTCATTGCATGGATATAGTCAATGGCTTTGTCAGAGGTTGTTATTAATTAATGGCAATTCAGTCACTTTCATTCAGAAAACAATATACCCTAGCTTATCCCCTGTGCCTGTTGACCCTTCTAGCACTAAGAGAAGTACCAGTTTTTTCCATAAATAAACTTCAAACTCTTCTTTTTTTGTGCGGGCGGGATCTGGGGGTTGCACTTAGGGGCACTTGACCACTGAGCTACATTACCAGCTCAATTTTGTATTTTATTTAGAGACAAGGTCTCACTGAGTTGCTTAACGCCTTGCTGTTGATGAGGGTGGCTTTGAACTTGCAATCCTCCTGCTTCAGCCTCTCGAGCCGCTGGGATTACAGACATGGGCCACTGCACCTGGCTCAAACTGTTCTTCACTTCCCTGACTTCTCTGTACTCCTTTTGTGTTTAACATCATTACCGCATGCAGTTTGGTAGAGGAGCCAGTGTGGTCAATGAAGGATTCTGAGAGGCGGTTGCACTTGAACCAGGGTGTGGAAGGAGAACAGGATTTGGCAGATGGGATCCAGGAGCACTTCAGGTGCTTCTCAGTGGCAAGGTCTGGCAGGGCTGGAGTTACTTTAGGGATCGGAGTCTTAAGCAGGCCCTTTGGTTGGAGAACAGGGTGCAAAGGGAGTGTCATCCCCATAACTGGAGAAGTAGCTTCAGTTAGATCATATCAGGCCACGGGAGGCTCCATTTTTTAAAGTTAAGTGAGATTTAGTGAGGAAATGTCTTTGTGAGAGGTAAAACCTAAAAATTCAATAGGGTTGTTTGCTGAAATGAGATTCTAGAAGGAAGGGAAATAAAAAGATTTAGTAGAGAGGCAGATAAAGTCAGAAGGGAAGTGAGGAGGAGTTAAAACAGAAGGGGGAGCACTGCAATTTGCTTGAAAGGTCAATGCAAGTAGTGTTGTTTTGTAGTTCACAGAAGAATGCCTCTTGATATTTAGAAATATAAAAATTGTTTTAAATATATCTACTCTGTCAGAATTTTCTTTTCTCCTGCCATTTGATTTTCATTTTTGGTAAAAGAATAAAAAAAGAACAGCTTACGCTAAAAGAAATTAGGTGCACATCAGGGACTGAATAATTTCAAATAATTTCTCTTTCAGCTGCATTGCTATTATATAATAAGAATACATTTTGATTCAGAACTTTTATGAAGAACTTGTACACTTTATTGCAACATCTGTTTCTGTGTTTTAATTTCTCTCCTTCCTTTTATAGGTATTTGCATACTATTTTTTTTCAAATGAGAAGACCTTTTGTTTGCCACAAAAAGGCTATTATCCAGAATGTTAATGGGTTTTCAGCTATTAAGATGTAATGATATACCTTGAGTATTTAACTATAAATTTGAAAAATCTCCATGAACAATCTCAAAGGAATACTTAGAATGCACTCTTGGTAAATTGGCTCATTTTCCTGTAATTTACTGGAAGTGCTGATATGAGAGCAGTCCTAATGTGAAAAGTACATTAATCCCTGGAGTTACATTGTATGTATTAAATTATTACTCTCAAAGAATAAAATGTATGAGTCCATTTAGCCCTCATTCACACTTGTTACTTAGAATCACAGTAGAGAAACAATCACTTATCTTTTGATGCACAAAATTAGAAATGATACATTTAATATCTTCTAAAACAAGAAGCACAGTGATGATCAGTTATGATTTTGCATAACAATTGCTCTTTTTCAAAACAAGGACTTTTTTAGTGAGGAACACAATTCTTTCAGCTTTGTGGAGGCCCATTTCATTCCATTGGTAATTGAAATATTTTTAGAAACCCATAGCGCAGCTTCTTTCATGTCAGTCAAAAAGCTTAGTGTGCCTTCTAGCCATGAGTACCTGCCACGCTGGGGGATTGTTAGGGATGGTAGTCAACTCGCAGGAGCAGCGGTTTGCAGAAGCGTTTAGGATCTTATTTGGAATTTTACCTTATTGTCTTTTTCTTCTTTGCCAGGAGACTGAAAGTTGTGGAAGCATAACTTGTGGCATAGGTGTCTTTTGAGGAAGCAGCCATTTATGATTCTGGAAGATTAAGGCAAGAGAGGAAGCCCCATCTGAGATTTTAACCAACCTTTCAAACAGCAGACTACACCATGGACACGAAGCTGGACCCTTCCAGAGATGATCTGCCTCTTATGGCCAACACCAGCCACATGCTTGTGAAGCACTATGTGCTGGATTTAGACGTGAACTTTGAAAGTCAGACCATTGAGGGCACCATAGTGCTTTTCTTTGAGGATGGAAACCAAGTCAAGAAACAAACTAGTTCCACCGAGGAAACCTGCCAATTGGAGTCAAGTGAAGCCTGCACATTTAGGGCACCTGAGCCCTGCCATATTCCTGCAACAAATGCAAGGACCGTAGCATCTAAATTGGGATATAATGATTTTGCAATCTGTGATAAAGGTGAAAAAGATACTTTTGATAAAGATGGTAACCATGACAACCAGGAACAGGCTTCTGGTATCTCTAGCTCAGAGTACTGCTGTGACACAAGGAACCATGGGAGAGAGGGTTTTTTGCTGGTGTTGGACTGTTGTGATTTGTCTGTGTTAAAGGTCGAGGAGGTGGATGTTGCTGCTGTGCCAGGTATTGAAAAATTTACAAGGTCTTCCAAGCTCTCAGTTATTTCTGAGGAGCTCAGGAATGAGGTTGTTGGTGAACTTGTGACTCTGCCTGCGGATCGTTGGAGGGAGCAGCTGGATTATTATGCTCGCTGTGGCCAGGCTCCTGGCTGTGGGGAACTGTTCTTTGACACTGATACTTGGAGCTTACAGATCAGGAAGCCAGGGGCTTTGACGGCTTCTGATTTCCCTCATGCCATCAGGATATGGTACAAGACCAAACCCGAGGGGCGGTCAGTTGCTTGGACCTCAGACCAGAGTGGCAGGTAGGTTATCTGAGCACTCCACAGTCGCAGTAATCTTGCACACTTCAGGGGTGCTCTCAGACAAGGGACCAGTTCTGTGGAGATGCTCTCACTTCTTCTGTGACATTACCCAGGTAGCCACAAATCCTAGACACACAGAAAAACAAGTAAATTCTCAGGTAAACTGAATCTTAATAGGATTACCTCCTATAAGTCAGGATGAAAAGATTATTAAGCTCTGGCATTTTGGAGTAAGGCGATTGAAAGGCAAGCTTAATGATGAGACTCTGAGCCTACCTCCTGGTTGAGATCACTGTGACTCTCAGTGGAGTCGATGGGAATGAGTCTCCGAGCAAGTATTTTTTCAAAATTCCTTCACAGTGCCCCTAAGAGAATATAGATGGCTGTGAAATTGAGTCGGTGCAAAGCTGGGCAAAGTGCTGTCCAATAAAACCAGCTGTGCTTTGTGACTTTCATACTGTACCTCTCCTTGGGCAGCCGTGCCTCCCTGGACTCTGTCAGTTGTCCTTTGATGTGAGCCCCCAAAGAACTTGAAAGATCTGTTTCTGAGGAGTGAAATAGTCTGTCCTGCTGAGGCAGGGTGCTGCCTCTCTGGCGCCATTCCTGGTATTTGGCACGAGGAAGCTCCCTATTCTTTAGTGCAGAGAAAGGCTTGATGCGGCTTCCTTTTCCAGGGGAGGCATTTAGGCAGCCATTTGTTCTGTTCTTATGGCTCTTTCTCCAACATCCTCTAAATTTTAGAATTAAGAATGTCTAAATCAAGCTTAGATTCCTCATTATTTTACCTTTTTTTTTTTTTTTTTTTTTTTTGCTAATGTACTGCCAATCATTTCAGAGCTTGGGAGGAGGGATGCCGAGTTTGAGAGCCTTCTTTACAGTTTTGGGAGCAGGGCTCTCCTGCAATTGTTTACATCGCTCCTCAGCTTCCCCCCAGCCCTCTCATACTTCTTAGATTTTTTTTTTTAAGTATTACTTTGACTTTGAGCTATAATTATCCCATTCTTTGCCTCTAATCTTACCTCCTGCTCTGGTCCCTAGCCTTCTGAGAATGAGTTCACTTCCTGTCTCGTTCTGCTAGTCTGAGACAGCCTTTGGGAAATTGCAGAGTTGAGACAAACTTACATCAGTACCAATCATAGTGATTGATTTATGGAATAAGTTATTGGAATTTCTTTGGAGACCAGGAGGGAAAGAAAAGAAATAGGTGTTCAGATTTGTTTGAAATTATTAAAATTGTGATTTTCAGTAGGATTTAAGTATATACATCTTTGAATATTTAACTAGGAAATTGTAGTTTTTACAATCACAGATCTTTTTGAGAAAAACATTAGAGAAATTGCAACTGAGGGACATTTGACTCGGTATCTGATCGTATTCTTCAACACTATCAAGAGCAGCTTGAACAAGCAAAGTCTAAGAACTTGTCAGTCGGGAGGAGCCTGAGGAGAAGTGATGATCAGAAGTGATGATCAGAAGTGATGATCAGAAGTGCTCGAGCGTCCCGAGATGGCAAAGGGCAGACAGGGAAGACGGAGGAGGTCTGAAAGCAGCATGCACTCCAGTTACCAGTCATGTTCGCTCTTGTGGCAACTAAGATACTAATGACAGGAGAAACTGGGTATTATCTTAAAAAACATCTAACGCTGTTCCAAAACACAGTTTATTAAAAAAAAAAAACAACCCTCAGATTTAGAAAAGTCACCATCTTTCTCTCCAGAGACCCCCCTTTGTAAGATCTGTCCTCCCACTTTTATCAATAAGTGCAGCGTTCTCTGGAGAAGAATCAATATTTTAAAATTATAAAAGAGCAGTTATCTTCTAAGTAATTCTCAATAATTTTTCTTCCCCATTATTATTCTAGCTCTAAAATGAAGTACCTGGAAGTAGTGCACTCCGTCTGCCTGTCTTGGTCTAGCCACTTTGCAGTTGTGCCAACTCTTGAACCTCAAGGTCCCTTCTTGCCTCTGTCCTCAGATCCTGGACTGTAGGTGACATTTGAGTGACTGGCAGAGGAAACATGGATAACAATCTGTTACAACACACTTCTTGGAAAAGGTGTTTACTGTTATGTGCTCTGTGGACTTGTGTGTCCTTTAAAAATATTGTGAAGAAAGCAAGAACAGGGTTAGGAGTATGTAAAGGTGTTCTTGCAGAGCTAGAAAGGAACAGGGCTTAATATCTTTTTTATTCTAATTCCTAAATACACCCAAGAAAATACTTTTAAAATGGAAATTACGAAGTTCATGTGTTTTCTTCATTTTCATTGCATTTCTTACATTTTCCCCATTTCACTGAATAAAATGGTATTTATTTTTAATTATTTTAAATTTAATACCTTTATTTTATTTATTTATTCTTATGTGGTGCTGAAAATCAAACCCAGTGCCTCACACATGCTAGGCAAGCACTCTGCCACTGAGCTCAACTACAGACCCTAAAATGGTATTTAAAACCAAAGCCTTCTTTCCATAACCCACTCCCTTTCCCCTTAGGATCTTGAGGGTGGTTGGGGAAGCACCTCATATCTAGTAGGTCTGGGCTTAGCTGATGACATCAGTGAATGAGGGTCAAATAGAAGGGAATTGGGCTCAATCTAGGAAATCTATTAGGAAAAGTACAATTATTTGAATTGCCTTGCAGGATAAGAAAACTAACTGGGGAAGCACATTATATAGTAAAAGTAATATTAAAATTTAAACTTTTCTAAAGCACCGTGGTATTCTTGATTTAGACTAGGCCAGCCAGGATGAAGTTGGCAAAATACGACTTTTTTCTTTGTTATATTTATTGCTCAGCCATTGGAACAAGAAAGCAGTACACTTTTGGAGTATTAGTTTGACATCAAAAACAGATGTTAAACATGCCCCTCCCCCACACACTGTGAATTAACTTCATTATTTTGTATCTCACTGTAAAGGAAAGTTTTAGAATTAAAAGAATGAGCAGAAGAGGCTTCCAAAGAGATTTCAGGAATAAAGGAAACGTTTCTACAATTAGTGCCTTTTTTTTTTTCTTGCTTCAAGAAACCAATACAAAATTCATGAGAACTAAAGTGGAAATACAGGTTAATTCTGTGATATTATCATATAATTGCAAAGAAGGAGTCAGTAATTCCAAACTTGAAAATGTTTGAAAGGGCTCATGTTTTGGCCTCCTTCTCCCACGTCCTCTATGTATGGCTGCATAGCCCAGGATCCTAGGCCCTAAGGAGAAAAGATGGCAAGGGACTGTCTTAGCTAAACAGAGTGCTCCAACATCAAACGGGCAGTTGAACAGCAGATGATGATAACAGGCAGCGGCATGCATGACCAGGAGTGGAGGGCGCTGAGGAGACCTGGGAGGTGAGAGCGTAGCTCAGGACTTGAGACAAGTCACTTTTCATCTCAGAGCCTACTTTCCTCGAATGTTCCAGGAAAGGGTCTCCAAATGTTTTCTGCGTATATGATCCTATGAGAGCTACCGTAGATGCAAAGCTGGATCCCTGCTGATGAAGGGGCTTCCGGGTGACAAATACGGTCTTTGCCTTTATAGGCAGCTTGCCTGTCTTGTACCCTAATCACCTCGATAAAGAAGTGGTTGAATTCTGGCTTAGAGCCACTCCAGTCCTGTCCATATCAAAGTCGCGTCCTCTGTGGACCTGCTGTAGAGTCAGTATGGTGGGTGAATTCTGATTTTTGTGTTTGTGCCATGAAGTAGAAAGGTAATAAGGAAAGGGTGTGGGTGTCGGGGGTGGAGAGAGAAATTGTGTCATAGTTGACTTGTCCTGTCCCAGGACTTTTGGCTTCTTGGTTTTTGTGGCATAGAAAAGCAAGAAGTTTTTACTTACCTCCAGTGGAGACTGTAACCTAGTTTGAATGAGAACATGGGGTTGTAAAAAAGGTTGGGCACAAATAGAACAAATTGAAAAAGACTGGAGAAGGCCGGAGACTTCGTAATCCTGGGAAGCTTTTAAAAGATTCTGACTGATTTGCCCTGTATGTGGCTCCTGGCCAAGCCCTAGAGACCAGGCCTCACTTTTGGAAGGATCCCATCAAGCCCCACAACACACATGGACCCTGCAGGCTCATCACCCCCTGCTGCTTCTCCCAGCAGCCTGTCCCCAGTACTTGAACCGTGATCACCAGCCTCTGAAAAGGGGTGTCTCGATGGAAAGTAGTGGAACTTAACAACTATTTTGAACTTTTTTCCTGACTGCGAAAAGACAAATGCACATAGCTGTCAACTGAAAAGAAAAAATATAATGTGCTTCGAATGAATCCCCTACAGGCTCCTTTCTAGCAAGGTCCTTAGGATCGCTTACCTTGGAGGCACGGTCAGTGTGGCTGGGTTTCCTTTGGCCACTCGGTGAACACAGGCATTTAACAAGAAGCTGAAGCAATTGTTACTGTACAGGTTCTTTCAGGTTAGAAGTTCTTTAATGGCAGCAAGCCATGGACCTGCCTCTCCAGCCATCTTACCATGTTTCCCTCTTCTTTATGATTTCCACTGTTCTTATTCCCAACTGCAGTGAACCTGGGCTGCCCAGGGGTCTCCTTCATGGGTGGATTTCCCAGGGCATGTGAGATGAGCCCTGGTGAGAGAGCATTTTCCTTTGCGTGCTAGAAGGAGTTATTCGGTCTGGAAATAATGATGTTAGAAGCATCAGAGAATTCCAGGCTGGCGCCTGCACATCTCTCCCACAAGCCTTTTAGCAACAGAGCCGAGGTGCAAGGCTGTGCATGTTGAATAAACACAGCTGCATTTATTTCAATGATTACACATTCAGATACTGCGCAGCCTGTTTATAAATGCACATTGATTTTCCTCCCCTCTGGGTGAGGGGCCAGGGAAGCAGGGAATCAGCTTGCATATGCAGTGGGTCTCCTTTGAATGTGTGCATGATGGAAGCCATCTTTCCTCTGGAGTCACTACATAGGATGTATAATCGCGTGACTCTGTGAAGACCCCATGTTTACCTATCCTCTGTCTCTGGCAGTTGCCCCAAATTCCGCCAGGATTTATCCACAGGATGAAGCTTTCATCTCTGTTAAAAGAGAGTTACCTAACTTTAAATTGTTTTCAGTATTTGCACTATGACGTGAGACATGCAGAAGGATACCAGGCTGTAAAAGATCAAAGGCTTTTGGTTATAAAGAATCTAAGCCCTGGCACTTGGTTTGGGCATGTTGGGAAGGGAGGAGTGAGCCGTAGCTGAGAAGGAGGGAAAGGCCTGGGAAGGAGGAGGATGGGATCACAAAGAGACTGCCTTTTCAAGAAGCCAGTGCCTAGGGCCTCCCTCTATCTGTGGAAACATTCCAACAAAAAGCAATTGAGTCTTACTTTAGACATGGGTGTGTTTGTGGGTGTGGCTTTTAAGACTGGTGGCTGGATCTACAGTTTCAGAGCTGTAGCTCTAGATACCAAGGGGGAAGCCAGAAAGAAAACACTTTGACTTTTAACAGAAATGGACTCCAGCAGTGTAAAGGGTAGGATAGGAAAAAAAAAAAAAAATAGTGAGGATGAGGAGATGTTGGAAGCAGTGCTTCCTTAGGGCCTAACTGGGTCACTAACCCCTTGATGGGAGAGTTTAGTTACCCAGGCAACAAAATGGCTGAAAGAGCCTTCACGAGAATGACAGAAGAAATCTGGACAAAATTCTAGAACAAAATGTTCTGAACTAGATTGCGAGAGGGGACATAATTCAAAATTGGGAAGGGAAGAACGTGGGCAGCATGTGGGTTTTCAGTCTACGCTATGAAAGGATCCCCCCCATCCTTGCTGGCACATGACTTGGCACGGACAGTGCGCTGCATGAGTGTCATTCCTAGACTCTCAGGGTTAGGTCTGAGTGTAGACACTTGGTCCCATTTTTGGACACCCCACTGTTTGGGATTAACAACACGTAGTCTCCATATCCATAAATTGACCTCTGCTGGGGGATGTGTAAAGCCCTTTGTAAACAGATTACAGAGTGAGGTACCCTTTATCTTTTCCCTCCCTGCCCCTTCCTGAGTTCCCGTGTTTAGTAGCTTTACCATCCATCTCATCACTTGGGCCAGAAACCTCAGAACCTTCTGTGCTTATTATAACTGCATAATGAATTGTTCCAAAATTGATCAGCCTGAAACAGCCAACATTGCTGTCTCACCTAGTGTCTAAGGAGCCTAGTGTCTGTCCTGGAGCAGGCTAGCTGGTGCTTCTAGCTCAAGCCCTCCTACAGGCTGCAGAGAGCGGTCAGATGGGCCTGCAGGCATCTCAAGGCCTGAGCGAGATGGGAAATTCTTTCCACGTTCAGTCACATGGTCGTTGCAGGCTCAGTTTCTGACTGTTGACCAGAGGTCTCCATTCCTCTCACCATGTGGGCCCCTCCCCTTGGTTGCCTGAGTGTCCTCAGGACTTGGCAACCAGATTCCCATAGGGCAAATGGTGAGAGGGAGAGAGAGAAAAGAGAACCCCAAAGACAAAAGCCACTTATCTCAGCGATAAGATGAGATGGCCATCACTTCTGCCATATCCTATTGGTCTCAGAGCTACCAAATCCTTCCCTTCCTTCTGTGCAGCAGTCCTCAGATGTGACTCAGATCTGATGGCTTCTTCATGGAAGAGGTGTGGAGGCTGCTGGAGGCCCTGGAGCCTGGGGCACAGGTGGAGTGTAGGGTGTGCCCTGGCCTGGCAGGCCAGTCTCGGGGAGGGTTTGTTCCCAGTGCAGGGCAGAGAGTCACCCAGGTATGGAGAGCCCAGATGCTTTCAGACTGGGCCTACTAAGCACCTTGGGACTTCAGACTACCAGGTGGGGTCAGGCCTCTTCGTGCATGAGGCCGAGATGGTCTTAGGAGAGCCCTAGGCAAGGGTGCTTCACTTCTCTGTGACTGTACAGGACTCACTCCACAGGGTACTGAGACTGGAAGGGGCTTCCTAGAACTCTTGAACCAGAAATGTTAGGAGTCCATTCTGCTTCTGTGAGAAAGAAGGCCCTGTTTCTCAGTGTCTGCTGCTGTCAGAGGACACAGGAGTTGTACAGCCACTTGGCCATGATAATACGTCCCCTGTTCACTGCTCATTCTTCTCCTTCTGGGGACCCTTCTCTCGTGGGCTTTGGGGAAAAAGAAAAACACCTAGTAAGCAGAATTTTCCAAATGAGGTATGGCTGGACACCACCTACCTAAGCTGCTCTGGGATCCCTCCTCCTATTACTGCCCCGCTTGGGAGGAGGTGAGAACTAGCAGCTTCTCCTCTTATTAGGAACTTCAACAGCCTGAGGCTGGACAGTTAACTAAGGTTAAGCCAATTAACCAAGGACCCAAGGGGACAAGAATGGGAGCTCAGAACTCGCTGAAATTGATGGGAGAATCTGGGGCCTTATATGAAAATTTGCTCCTTATTCTTGGAACAATAAACTTGAGATCAAGAATTATGTACTTACTAGCCAGAATAGATGATCAAGGTCACCTGCCTGCCCTCCCCTTCCTCATTTTACCCATGACAGAAAGGTGAAGGGACCTGCCTGCAGTCTCATAGTACATTGGCCAGCTAACCTGGATGGATTTTCTGACTGCCTTTGGAACTGCGTGTCTGGTGTGCACACCTGTGGGTAAGCGCACGCACACTGCATCTCCTGCTCACTCTTGAGACCACTTTCTGCTCTCAGTGGGATCGTCCCTGGATGAAGGGACTTCATTTCCCAGGCTCTTCTCTTCTGGGTTCCTGCAAGGTTTGGCCAATGGGGAGCACTGGTAGAAGATTTAAGAGCTGGAGTTGGCAAGTAACTAGCAATCTCTTCCTTTCTCCCTGCATCCGTGTGACCATGTCTCCTCTGTGGTTCTGGCTTCCTCTGGACAGTCTTCTGTAACTTTGGCTTCTGCCAGGTGCCCCTGTTGCTGTGGCCTGGTGACATAGCTCCTCCACGCAGAGGAAGAGTCACTGCTGCTCACCGCTGGAGCTGGTCTCAGGCTTGCTTTGCTGTGCCTGGTGGCTTCTCAGCCCTGGTGTCATTTGTGGGTCCAATTTCTTATATTGTTATCTCTCTTTAGGAGGATCCAGCAGGGTTCTCTTGTCCTTACTGGGTCCTGACCCACAGAGTAGGGCCATCATTCCGTGTGTTCCTGTGCATGGTAGGAACGGGCAAGTGTCCAATGATAATGTTGTTAATGGAAAGAAAACCAGTTTATCAAAAAGAAGTTGTGCTGTTTCCTCTCTGTTCACTCACACCATAAATTAAACTGATTAAGACAGCATCATATTTGTCATAAATTCTGAAAAACAAAAAGTGGTAATATTTTCCTAAGGTGCTTTCCCCAAGGAGTTAATCTTGTACTTTCTGCTCTGCCATTTAAAAGAATGAATTCCTTTGATGCTGCAGGTCCTTTCCACCGCTCAGCCATGGAAGGGCCCTTCTCGGTTTGGGCGGGTTTCTGTTTTTTTTGGTTGTAGCAGAGTCTTGCCTTCATCCGTTGGTTTCATAGGCTTGCTGGTAACAGCTTTGTACGCTTGGCCTTCCCATCACAAGCCTGGTTATCGGGACCCACAGTCCTGTTTACATGCCAGCCCCTGTTCTTGGCCTTCCCACAAGGATTCCCACAAGGCTTCCATTGGAGAAGGTGGTTTCTAAGGTTGGGTTATCTGCCCGCCAGCACTGGATTTGAGACCACCAGCTTGTTTTTCCAAGCATTAATATCTCAGTGATCTCCAAACATATTTTCTTTTCCAGAACACTTTCCAAAAAGTGTATAAGAATGTTGGTAAAACTTTTTTCTTTTGAAGGCATAAGAGCCTAAGGGGAGGGGCAAGGGTATATGTACTTGGCAGACTTGTATCTAAAACTTGTTTCCAAAAAATATTTTTCTCCTTAAAAAAAATCCTCTTTACATATTTAAGTAATTCATTTGGGAGAAATAACCACTCAGCTATTCACATGGCCAGCCCCTTGGCAGCTTCAGTTCAGTGTGCTTTGAAACCAGTCAGCTACAAAGCCTCAATGTTTTCACTTTGAAAGCTCAACTTAACCTTCACTACCATGGTAGTGAGAAAAATGACAACTCATTTTGAAGATTCTCCCCTTTGTGTCTTTGTCTTTATTCTGCAGGCCATGTGTTTATACTGTGGGATCTCCCATAAACAACAGGGCCCTTTTTCCGTGCCAGGAGCCACCCGTTGCCATGTCAACATGGCAGGCTACAGTTCGAGCAGCTGCATCTTTTGTTGTTTTAATGAGCGGGGAAAATTCTGCCAAGCCAACACAGCTTCGGGAAGGTACTGTACATGTGTTCTTTGCTTATTTATGTATTGCACACATGCTGGACCCAGGAACCCAATAAGCAGTGTTTTTCTAAACTTTAAAGAGCTGCTTTATAAGTTGAGTTGGAAATGAACATACTATAAAACATCCTGCCAGAGAAAACAAGCAGGGGCTGGGGAGGGGTGCTTGAGAGTCTGGGCTTGGGATTTGGGGCTCTTCATGCCAGAGTTATCAATTCAGGGATTATTTCAGCAGTTGCTTTCACCTAGTGGCTTGTGGGCCATAAGTGGGTGGTCTTGAGCAGACTCTGGGCAGGCAAGTGTGTCATGGCAACACCATTACGGTTGAGTTCTCTGTCGTTTGGACCTGGTGTCTGTACCTGGTTTTTCATAGGTCAAGAGATAGTGCTACTATTGGCTGGCCCGCTGGGGTAGTCCTGGTAGAGGTCCATTCTATACAGCTCTCCTTCGTGAAGTTCTGAACCAAAGGTGTATTACAAAGCTGGAAGGCAGGGGCTAATGCATTCTTCAGGTTTTTATCTGTGAATTACTTGCTTTTCCAGAACTAATCTGTTAGTTCAAACCCTGAGCATATTGATGCAAGGTAGTTGTATTATTTATTTAAAATATGGCGTCTCTTCTCACATACTTATTATAGAAACTTTTAAAATACTCAAAAAAGTAAGAAAATAAAGTTAAATATTTTTAGAGAAAAATAATTGCTAAAGTTTGGTTGCATTTTCCTTCAGATTTAAAATCTATGTGGATTGTAAGAATAATTCAAAATTGTTGTTATAGCATATAGCAGTGTTTATTCTGCTTCCTTTATTAATACAGTGATTGTTGAATATTTTTCAGGTTATTGAGTGTTTTTAAATATAATTTGATGTTGGTGTGAAATTTTGTTGCGTGAATTCACACAACAAAATTTCACGCCAACATCAAATTATATCAGAATTTATTGAACACTCCCATGTCAGATATTTTGATTGTTTCCACATTTTCTCTCCTATCACAAAGTTCCTGAGGAGACATTTTATATGAAGTGGAAGTTGCCGAGCCTGAGGTGTGAGCGTGTGTAAAGCTGTGGTGCACAACCCGTGTTGCTCTCCAGGGGCTGTGCCAGCTTACATACCCCTCAGCCATTGTGAGGTCATGGCTTTCTTGAATTTTGCTCATCAGATATGCAAGGGGGAGTGGCTCTTGAATTTGGGTCACTTTGGTTGTGAGTGATTTTCACATGTTCCTATCTGTTTTTTAACCATTTTCATTCCTATCTGTCTGTTCATTTCCTTTGTCCACTTTTATACTGAGGACAGTATGTCGTGTTTTAAAATTTGATTAGCTCTTGGCCTGGGGTTGTGGCTCAGCGGTAGAGCACTTGCATAGCACGTGTGAGGAGGCCCTGGGCTCGACCCTCAGCATCACATAAAAATAAATAAATAAAATAAAGGTATTGTGTCCAACTGCAACTAAAAAATAAATATTAAAAAAATTGATTAGCTCTTTAAAAAATTAAGGATATTATACCTTTAATTTTACATGAGGTTTCTTACTACAGGTTATTTTAATGTTTGTGAAATCAAATTTATCAGATTTCTTTGGAAAGTCTTTCTTTGTACTCAGATTTACCTGTTTTGTTTATAGCTTAATTTTTATAATTTACTCTTTATTCTATGTATATTGTTTTCAACAGAATTGTGAAGTGAGGACTAAGTAATTATCTTTTTCCAACTAGAAAACCAGTTGCTCTAAGAGCACTTACTGTATCTTTTCTGATTTGTGATGCTTTTTTAAAATTTTTAGTTGTAATTGGACACAATACCTTTATTTTATTTATTTTTATGTCATGTTGAGGATCGAACTCAGGGCCTCGCATGGTAGGTAAGCGCTCTACCACTGAGCCACAACCCCAGCCCCTGTGATGTCTTTTTTATCATAAGCTAGATTTACAAATATGTACTGAAGTCTTCACTGAATATTTACTTGATTCCAAAGTAAAGGCAAAACAAAGTAAATAATACATTTAAAATTTTTGTTAAAGTAGATAATATTTACAAATTAAAAGTAGACAACATATTTCAATAAAGTCTCCTTCCTCTTCTTTTTTCCTAGCTGCCCAGTAACCCTTTCCCAGGCCAACCCAGGTTACTAATTTTGCTTGTGTAATGTTCTTTCTCTTTTGTTGCATAAATAGTGGCATGCTATATATGTGAATAGCACTTCTCCCTTTAGAAGAAATTGATCTCATAGATATTTCATGTCAAATCAGAAAGAGCTTTTTTTAAATTATTATTATTTTTGAGACTACAGATGTTTCATTAATGGATGCTTCATAGCTTAATTAACTAGAGGCTCTGGACTCCACTCTGTATCCAATAAGGAGTTTTGTGGGTATTTACTTCTGGTGCTTTTCTTCCCCTGTGTCTCCTTTGTCTCAGGTTTGTGTTCTGTTTTTTGTATTACAGCCTCTTTTCTAGCAATAACTTTCTTCATTCTTGAGCTCTTAAGTTTGATTTGTCTTTTGGCTGGGAAAAGGCTTTAATTTTTTTTTTTTTTCCTGTGAAGGTGGGTGTATAGCCTATTTTCTGAGGTCCCTTTCCTATTTAAGTTGACTTTTAATTGTATTCATTTATGAACAGTTCTTGGTTGGATATAGATTTCTTGAGTCAATTTTTTCCCCTTCTTAAATGACTATAAATATTATTACTATCGTCTCTTATTTAGTATTTCTGGAGAGAAATCTGGCAACACATTTTTTTATTCTTTGAAAGTAGTCTGGTTTTGCTGCCTAGATGCTCAGAAAAAAAAAATTTAAAAATTTTTGTAATTAAAAACTTCAGAACAAATCTAGATGTGCTGCCTTTCTTTTGAATCAACTTAACTAAAGTTTAATTTACATATAATCAATGCATACATTTAAAATGTATCACTCAGTGAGATTTGACAGATGTCTACACCTTTGCGATTAATCAGCACCTCTGTGATGACGTGGAGCATTCCCATCACCCCAGCAATCCCCTGTGGCCTGTACTCAGTCCTCCCTGCCTGACTCTGTTCAACCACTGAGCTACTTTACATCTCTGTAGAGGGGTTTTAGTTTTTCCAAAAATCCCTCTCAGTGCATTTGTTCAGTATGGGTTCTGACATCTGACTGCTTTCACTCTGGGTGGTGTTTGTGAGATTCATCCACATCGCTGCAGATGTCAGTAAGTTATTCTGTTTTAATTGATGAATTAGCCATCCATTGTGTGAATAAATCACAATTTATCCACTTGTCTGTTGGTGGGCATGTGGATTCTTTTGGTCATTTTGAAAAATACGCTGTGACGTTCATGTATGAGACTTTTGTGGACATGGTTTTCACTTCTCTTGGGCAAGTACCTAAGAGTGGATTTGCTAGACCCTTAAAAGTATATGTATAAGTTTCTAAACTTATGATTTGGCACCTGCCAAACTAGGTCCAATGTGGTTGTGTCTTTTTATATTTCCACCAGCAATGTTTGAGAGTTCTGGTTGCTACTCATCACCCTAAGCACCTGGCAGTGTCAATCCATGGATTGTTAGCCTTCTGACTGAGTGTGAATACCATCTCATTGTGCTTTTAGTTTGCATTTCATTTATTAGATGTACTTATGTTCTTCTTTGAAAAGCATCTCTTCCAAGTATTAAGAATACTTTTCGATAATATTCTAGACGTAAACCTTTTGCCGGATATATGTATTACAAAAATATACTCCCAGTCGGTGTGACTTACCTTTTCATTTATTATTTACACTCTATTCCATTGCTTTTCTGTAGTGACATATTTGTTCTTTATTAACTCCACTATATATGTAAATTATGTCATTGTAACATATCAATCCTTCTTTAAAAAAAACTTCATTTTTTTTTATATCAGTCTGGTACCACTTACACCTCAGCCTATTTTCTTCTCGTGGCTTTTTACTATTATTTCGTAGAAGTTATATCTTCTTGTCTCATAATGACAAGACCAGTTTCCTAAACTGGTTTTGGTTTCTGTAGCAGATTGATTCCCCAGACCTGTTCTTGCTGAGTCCTAAGGATGATGTCTTTTTTCACTTCGATTCTGCCAGTTTGGTTTGATTTTCTTCCACAGCCTTCATGGCTTTCCTCTCTCCTGTGACCCAACAGACGGGATAAAGTATGTCACTTTCCTGTGGTACCTTCATTGTCCCCTGTGTTTGCTGAACTCCTTCTAGTCCAGTATACAGAGCCAACCTGATAAGCCTCACTCCTCTGTCCAGGCTCTGTTGTCTTGTTGACCGTTTCTGGTCAAGTTCTGCTAGACATGCCTGGCCCTTTCTTTGCCTTCTCTGTTTGGTTCCCTGCCATGCTAAAACAAGAGGGTGTGTTTTGAAACACTGCTGTGTTGAGCAGGCACTGATACCAGAGTCTTCCAGCCCACTGAGTTTTCCTTGTGGTTACTGCACTTCCCAGGATGCCATGTGGTCATCCCCTGTGGTATCTCCCCACTGCCCATGGACTTTCTCATTCATGGTTTGGCCCTGTGGTTCAGATGGAAGGCTTTGTGTTTGGCCTTGCTTCACAAATTTAAGCATTATTTTTCTTTTTAGATAGAAAAAAAAATCTCATGATTTACCAAGGTTGATGTAAATTATTGATATCAGAATGATATTTTCAAAACTACCAACCTAACACTAGATATAAACTCTGTATGCTTGGAATTCTTGCACATCTGTGAAGCCAAAATAAAATTATAAAACAGATCAAACTCCTAAATCTTAACATTTAGATTAACAATTTAAAATTGGTATAAAGATTAATATTTTGCTGGCATAAAATTGCCTTTTACAATACAAATGTGGAACTGAGGGCTCCCTGTATTTTTTGTTTGTTTTTGTGATGATCCACCTTTCCATCACTTTAGCTTACACACATGTGGTGACATCATCTGGCCTTTACTTGGGCAAAAGCATCAGCCTTATGTTCTTCTCGCATTATCTCTCAGTAGTGGTGGTAGTCCCCACATG